TGATGGCCGGCGGGAGGGCTAGCACGCTTTTTCGTGCCGCTCAACAAAACGTCAAAAGTGTGACCGCTTGGCTTGAGGGGTAATCAGCGCGTTAGGTGCCGCATTGCGGGGCGCTTGCTCATAGCTGTTGACCACCTGGCATCCAACTTGCCGCTTTGGGCGTCTCGGTATTCAGCTGTGGAGATGGTGACTATTTTGTGGGCGGCGGTGACTGCTACATGTGCTCGAAACTGTTTTCGCGAGGCCGACTTTGTCGGCGTTGTGCCCAATGCCGAGCCTGAAGCTTCCGAACAGAACCACTGCGGTGGCGATATGTGGCAGGGCGTCATCGACTCCGACCTGGGAGAACGGGTGGGACATCTGTTGCGATGATTTAATGACGGCCGATGATGATGCCGACACTGCGAAACCGTGCATGGATTGGGGCATTGTGAACGAAATACGTGGCGAGAGCGACTTGGAGGAATCTGATTGCGAGCACGACGAAGCTTTGGAGCCAGTGCCTTATGCAGCTTATGCCACAGGCCTTGGCGAACAAGCAGCCTGCTGTTTTAAATGAACTCAAGACCGCCCTTATCGCTTCTGCTCTTTGAAACACGTGCATCACGGACTTTTTGGTGCAAAAAAAGTGTGCTTTCATGACGATAGTTATAGCGCGAGAACAAAACGACAACACAGAGACAAGAAGGACACGAAAGACACGAGCGCTAACTTCCAACTGAGTTTATTGCGCAGAGCACGAAAATATATAGAGGAGACAGTGACCATGTGATAAAAACCATATGGCACAAGAGCAGAACATGAGTAAGAAAAACAAAAACAAACAACACAAAAACAAAGGCACTGAAAAACGGCAAAAAAAAAACCTAGAAGAAAAAGAAAAAAGAAACAGAAAGGTAAAGATAAAATAACTACCTGCCCGCACCGAAACCTTCGAGGAACCTGCGTTCCTTCTCGGACAAAGCCACGGAGGGCTTGCTAATACAAGGCACCTGTTCGCGTGCCATCTGCGCAGCCTCGACAATGACCCGGGTGCTTACATCTCTGTGTTTGTACAGCGTCGCTGTGTCCTCGATGAGGGGAACACAATTGCAATCAGTGCAGTGCTGGGCAAGAAAACCATCTTTCCCGTTTCTAACATTGTTCGCGTGCTCTCTCAGCCGATCGTTCAGACACCTTCCGGTCGTTCCGACATAACAAGCACCACATGAAAGGGGGGTCCTATATACGACTTCCCGGGAGCAGGCCGCATACCTGTTTCGATGTTGAACTCTGCATTCTGTTGATGATTTCGTTTTCAGGGGGTTGGTAGATTTGGCGAGGCTGATTAATTTGAACGGTGCCGAGAACAGGACATGAACTCCAACACGTTTTCCGATTTTTTTGAGCCTATGTGATATCTGGTGTATGTATGGAATCACGGCTATCCTTTCACGTTCTGTATCCGTGTTGCTCAGATTCTGTCGCGTCCTCTGCTCTGCCTTATTAGTCCGCAGGATCGTCTCAGCAACAGACGCGATAAACGCCTCGGGGAAACCTGAAGCCTTAAGGCGGGAAATTTGAGCTTTGAAGCTTGCAGAGATATTGTGGGCGCACGACCTATTTAAAGCATTCTCAAGGCAGGTTCGTGCTATGCCTCGCTTAACTATCTTACTGTGAGCAGAAGAAAAGGGAAGTAGAGATTTCTGCGCACGTGGTTCATAACACCAACAGATGTGCTGTGAGCTAAAAACCAGATTTAAATCCAAAAAGCGTAATTTGTCATTATCGGGCATTTCATGTGTCAACACAAGAGGCTTCAAACAATTTTCGAACACACCTATAGTTTGAGTGGCCAACGAGTGAAACATAGAAGAGTTACAATTTAGAAGAACCAAGAAATCATCCACGTATCTAAATATTTTGACGACATGCGAGCCTTCTAACTTTTCCTGCAGTTTTTTGCCCATTTTTGCCAATAGATCACTGAGTAGAGGTGCTATACATGAACCAATTGAAACACCCTTTTTCTGCAGATAAATGCAATCATTCCATTGAACGAAAGTAGACGTAAGATACAGCAAAACCAGGTCAAGAAAATCTCGCGAACTAATGCTAGTTTTTAATTGGAAGTTCAGTTCCCCGAAAATTTCTGTTATTCCTTATACATTCTAGTACCTCATCGTGAGGCAGAGAGTAGTATACGTAGGTCCTTTATGTCAATTGAAAAACCGAAAAGATTAGATTGATTTGACTGTTTGAAAAATTCTATCAGAGCCTGCGAGTTTTTTATCACAAATGGGTCGTCGATCTTTAGACACTTTAGATGGGTCTGAATAAACAAGCCGAGTTGCTTTTGCCACGTACCACTTTCTGTCACAATGACACGGAAGGGCATGTCAACCTTATGTGTTTTGGCAGAAAAAAAAATGCTGAGCCCATTTTTGTCACTTTTGCTAATGTGCTGCGCTAACTGTTTTAACTCTAGTTTACGACACATTTCCCTGGCCTGCGTTTTTACCCTATCTAGACGAATGTCAGTACAACATTTGAAAACAGATTCGATAGCTGTGACAGCCTTTTCCAGGTACAAGCAATTAGGAAGAACGGCGAAACCACCCTCCTTATCTGACGGCACGACACAAAGTTCATTGTCTCTAAGAAACTTGGTCGTCTTCCGCACCGGAAGGCTGTTGCTGGTAGGCTTACCCCGTAGGAGCACGTCGACGCCTTCTGAGATGCACCTGTCTGAATCCTCGGGTGAAGCACGGCCAGCCACAGAGCGCACAATTGAAAGAAGCTCGGGTGCGGACCTCCCTTGGTCGACGGCGAACTTCGGACCTAGAGCGAGGGTGTTGTGGACGTAGTCTGGGAGGACGACATCACTGCATGAGTGGATGACACCTGATTGCCGAGGCTTAGTTGGGCGCTGCGCACGAAGGCTGGCGAGCTCACGTGACCACAAGCGGTTTGCAGTGTACTCGATTCGGTCGCAGTACTCTCGCCATCTTCTTTTCTTCACTCCCGGTGTTAGATCTGTCTGTTGAAGCTGGACATGTAGGGCGTCCCGGTACGTGCGCTCTTGTCGGTGCCATTCAGACTGAAGAATTTTGCACACCCGTATGCCATGGCCGATAGAGGGGTGGTAACCTCCAAACAAGGCTTTAATGTCCAAAGGGAGTTGCTTGGTGCGAATGCAAAAGGAAATGGTGCGCACACGGCAAATGGAGACTGTGATGAGGGTTACGAGGACTGAATGATGAAGAGAAACACACGAAAAAGAGCCCGAATAACTAGAAATATAACTTAGAAGTGTGGCAGCTTGGGCTAGTTGGTATGGCATGACAATAGTTATAGCGCGAGAACAAAACGACAACACAGAGACAAAAAGGACACGAAAGACAGGAGCGCTAACTTCCAACTGAGTTAATTGCGCAGAGCACGAAAATATATAGAGGAGACAGTGACCATGTGATAAAAACCATATCGCACAAGAGCAGAACATGAGTAAGAAAAACAAAAACAAACAACACAAAAACAAAGGCACTGAAAAACAGCAAAGAAAAAACCTAGAAGAAAAAGAAAAAGGAAACAGAAAGGTAAAGATAAAATAACTACCTGCCCGCACCGAAACTTTCGAGGAACCTGCGTTCCTTCTCGGACAAAGCCACGGAGGGCTTGCTAATACAAGGCACCTGTTCGCGTGCCATCTGCGCAGCCTCGACAATGACCCGGGTGCTTACATCTCTGTGTTTGTACAGCGTCGCTGTGTCCTCGAAGAGGGGAACACAATTGCAATCAGTGCAGTGCTTGGCAAAAAAACCATCTTTCCCGTTTCTAACATTGTTCGCGTGCTCTCTCAGCCGATCGTGCAGACACCTTCCGGTCGTTCCGACATAACAAGCACCACATGAAAGGGGGGTCCTATAGACGACTTCCCGGGAGCAGGCCGCATACCTGTTTCGATGTTGAACTCTGCATTTTGTTGATGATTTCGTTTTCAGGGGGTTGGTAGATTTGGTGAGGCTGATTAATTTGAACGGTGCTGAGAACAGAACACGAACTCCAACACGTTTTCCGATTTTTTTGAGCCTATGTGATATCTGGTGTATGTATGGAATCACGGCTATCCTTTCACGTTCTGTATCCCTGTTGCTCAGATTCTGTCGCGGTTTCCCCGAGGCATTTATCGCGTCTGTTGCTGAGACGATCCTGCGGACTAATAAGGCAGAGCAGAGGAAATTTCAGTGTTGACCCACGTTGCAGCCCCACCAGTGGCGCACATTTTTTTTTTATCCGCTCCAAAGTCCTGTCCGGCTTGAACATTGGACGACGTATTCGCAACTAGGACAACTTCCTTTTATAAGCGGCGCCACCTGTTTTGTGCCATCGAACTACACCATACCACACAGACCACTCGAAGTGCGACTTGAAATGACAAACGCTCGCCTCAACATTCTCCACAAAGATCAAATTGGTGGCCAGGTGTTGACTTGGCTACCACCAGCTTTAATACTGTCTACGTGGCACTAGTTGACCACCACTTTTCTTCATAAAAAATGGTGCATTTTTCAAAATCCTTGAATCTAAGCTGACTCTGATGTTTAATGTAAAGAAATTTGAAAAAAAAACAACAAAAAATTGCCTAGATTTGAATAATTATGGTATGTATAAAAGCAGATACAATTTACCGCTTTGCAGCCAAAGCTCTGTTTGCCATGATCAGTTTGGGCTGCTGTAGTTGAGTTTTTGTTTTCTGTTTGCACAAATAGAAATTTTGCTTTGTTCACATTGATTGCTGCATTTGTCACTGTCTCGACCACTTGACAATATTAACAAAACTTAGGCCATGATGGCTAGGCCTATTATTAAATCCGAGTGTTCAGCAGCTAGCACAACAACAAGTACAGCTAGAAAACATGCATGAGCAAAACCCACCCTGCAGCAAGTATTACGTCTGGAATGGGTAATTTGGGGTGCACCTTATAGCAGCAAGCTTGAGTGATGTGCTGTGTGTGCAGGTTGGAGGTGTCGAGGAGTACGAAGTGTGTGAGGCCCTGCAGTCGGGTCGGCTGAACAAGCCCCTGGTGGCCTGGTGCATTGGCACCTGCGCCTCCATGTTCTCCTCTGAGGTGCAGTTTGGCCACGCCGGTGCGTGTGCCAACTCAAGCCGTGAGACGGCCTCTGCCAAAAACGAGGCCCTGGCAAAGGCGGGTGCCCACGTGCCGCCCACGTTCGATGCCCTCGGCGACACCATCAAGTGAGTGGGTTCTCCTTTTATCCCAACAACTTTTTGCTTTTTCTGTCTAAAGTGATTTTTTTCAACTTGATACCTGCTTAAAAAAAGCATGTGTTCGTTGATGAAAAAAAAAGGATATATCAAATCAAGTGTGTGGTCATATGGAGTACAGTCAATCGTGGAATACATCAAATTTGGACATAATTGAATTATTGGCTATATCGAACTCTTGAGAAGTCCCCTTGAATTTCCCATGCAAAAGTACAGAACCGGTGCACCCGTATATCGAACTTCCACACAGCGGTGCATCTTTAATATCGAACACCCCGCCGAAGCCCAGAAAGCGCATTTTCTTTAGCGAAAATTGTTGAATTTTCGGCCGCGTTCTGACAAGTTCGGGTGCCTTTGCAGGTTCAGGTGATGAAAAGGTGGTATTATTCTATCGCGCTGATCTAGTTCATTACGCAGCACTTGTGAGTGCACTGGTATGTTTGATGTGTGATCTGCATGTCTTAACGCCTGGGCATAGTTAAAAAAAAAATGATTGCCAAGGGTACCCAAATGAGAATGGGAAGTAAATCGGGGATCTCATTGCAATGTTCACATTCCAATCTTTGTTTTTTAGCACACAATGGCATAGGCGAGCCTGAAAAGCATGGCCTTCGAGATGTGCAACCTCGTTACGTACCTTTGGTGTTTTCGGTTTTAAAACTCATGTCTTGCAGGCTACGCTTTTTTAGCTTTTCGCATAAAAGCAGCTGAAAGCAGCAGCTGCCGGCTACAAAGCCGCAAGTGAACTCAACATGACCAACATGTCCACCGTAGGAACTCGACGTTGTCTTTTGCATCTTCTGGACTTGTGTACTTCTCGCCTCGTTCCTGATAAATGCACATTCAGGAGTTGGACTGAACATTGACCCGCGTGTAGCAATAAGTGCTTGGAGCGACGTCAAATAAAGCACTATCGTAAACTTTTCTTGCGGGCCATTTGACGACTTTCGGTGCATCATCAGTCATGACCACTGACAATTCAGAATGGCTCGGTGAATTCTGCGACAAAGCTTTTGTGGGCACCATCTCGGACAGCGAGTGATTTCATCGATGCAGATGACCACGTAGCTGTTTCTGATTGCACTAATCCTGAGATCATGGCTACTGTTACTGGTGTTGCAAAAGTGTACCTGTGCGGATATGAATATACCATCACCTTTGGTGCCGCCGCTAACCAATCTTTTTGCTGCACTAGAAAGCTTACATCGCTGTTCTGTGTCAATGAACATTGTTGGCCGAAGGCGCTAAATTCGCTTATTTGGAAAGCTTCAGTGATATTGAGGATGACTGGAACTTGACAGCATGTGAGAAGCAAGGCAAGTTTGCGGACTATTTTCATGGGAAATAAAGTGCGGTAACTTGCAGTTCACATCTTGTTGATGGTTATACTGTAGTCTATTATGTTAGCGCTTCCAACGGTTTCTCAGGCCTGAAGTGATTTAATTTAGGCCTTAAACACGCATATTTTGTGTTTTGAATTACCGATATATCGAACTATGTCGTGATTTCCTTCGGGTTCGATATTTCCGGAATCAAGTGTATTAGTGTCTTTCACTACTCCTGAATTAATGTCATTGACGAGAGACTGCCAGCTATGACATGTCCAAATGATGAAATTAAACTTTGATATCTGAATAATTACTACTTGAAGAGCTGTGCGATGACGAAAGTTTTTTTTTCGCGTGATGATGCACGGCTAATGCACACGTCCTCTTCACTGAACATTATCTAAACAAAAGTCGGGAAATATCTGTGTTGGCTTTTAAAATAAAAGAAATTGCTCAGTTAGTGCTGCCATCTGTGAAGCAATGCACAAACTAGCTTTTTAACAAGTAGTAAGTCTTATTCAAAATGCTCGTGGCGAGATATTGCCACACTTACTGACACAATTTGCCTACTTTTTTTGCATTTTTAGAGCTTCAAAGAGGGAGTGCATGAATTATGCGGAGGTTCCGCGATGGCATCTGAAATAATGTGCAGTAGATTACAGTCCTAACACGCGCAGTATATACATTAAAAAAAATCAATTGGAACACAAGTAAGTGTACTGGCGGCGACAAAAGCTTGCAGGATCTGCAGTGCGTACCGGAGTAAGAAAAAACTGCATTGCTGCATCGCCTACCGTGATGCGGCAGGTGTTTAAGCTATCAGCTGCGGCCATGGTGATTTGCAACCGGGAGTTTAGACAATGCGCACCTGCCGAATGTAATCGTTAGAAGGGGTTCTTGCTGCGCAAGTTGGTAATATTCTATTATTAAATTAAGCAGATGTAATTGTGGTGGGTGCGTGACCTTAGGTGACGCAGCCATGGAGTTTTTCATCCAGCAGGTCTAGTTTTCCGCCTCTGTGCCACGCACTGCAGATCCCGCAAACTTTCGCTGATGGCAGTACAGTCTATTTAATGAAATCAGCAAGTATTTTAATGAGCTATATCCGGTCAGGGGGCATCTAGTCAGAATTACTGGCTGAGAGGTTTGATTTGGAATCATCACCATAGCCACTGTCAATGCCCTCCCAAAGCGTGTTGTCCTCGGTTTCGTTGTGTGTTCAAATGCCCCCTTTCCTTGATGCTCTTCTTGACAATGCAGAGAGAAACCAGGTCCCACGACATTGTGTTTTCGTGCATAATTGAAAAAGGTCTTCTTCAATGGCAGGAAACTTGTATTTACAAGCATGCATTCTTCTGTTTTCTCTCGTACCGAACGGCACACATTGAAGAACTTCATGCTGAAGTGCTTGCCACCAGCACGGTTCTAGTTTTCTTTAGCAGCTTTTATAACAGTGAGCTTGAATTTTTTGGTATATTTGATTATGTTAGCCCAACACAAGGGAACAGTAAAAACTAGACAGATGCATTGCGAAATCTGGACTTCTTAAATCAACCTAGTGTGCCTTGCAGTGCAGGACAGGCACGAATGCAGAGCACCAAAGAAACAGTTCTTGCTCCAAGTCCGCGCACGCCTCCGATGCAGAAAATAGTGGCAAACGCTCAATCATTTTCGATAATCCGCCAAAAAGGTTTGGGTGTTGAGGTACGGTATTCTAGGTACTTTAGTTCAGGGGAAATTCTTGGAAGAAGGGACTTTACGATCGGAGCCTGTTTAATGTATGACTGCGCCCACCTGCACGGTGAGCGGTACGCGCGTCCAAAGCGTCCAGAGGTCCGAAGTCTCTACATGCACGCACCGGTTCGCTGGGTTGCATTTGTCGAGAAGCGCAAAATATTAGGGGTGTGAGAATACCGAATTGTAAGTCTCGAATCGAATACCGAATCGAATCAAGAAAAAAAAAAAGCCGAATGTCGAATCGAATACCAAATAACAAGTTACGAATTTTTATGCAAACAAAAACACCAGTTGTACATGATCTGGGGTCAACTTTTCCCTCCGGGCTGTAACAATGTTACCAGCTGTCAAAAACAACTTTTCACTTGGTACACTGGAATGCTCATGTATTTCATGGCCATCTTGCACAATCATGGGAAGCGCGTCTTTCCTGTTTCTGTCCAGAATTCTAGAGGGTCTTGGTCCTTGCTGCAAGTGGGCTCTCGAAGCTACCGCTTGAACTCCTGGATGTTGGCTCTTTCAGTGCAGTGTCTTCTTTCTTATGACACTGCCAACTTCTCAACGCTGTCCCAGATACTGCTGATGCGCTCCTTGACAACTGTAGATGTTATCGCTTTGGCAGAGTCACTTGATTCTTCTTCTGGAGGGAGCTGCAACTCGATTCTTGCAAGCTCCAAGAGCCTTGATTCCTGGAACGTTTCAGGACAGAAGAGGTTCTTAAACCTTGGGTCACAGGCAGTTGCTAGCACACACTCCTTTTGCTCATCTTGCCCTGGAAACCTTGTCCTCATGCTTTTCAACAAGTTTCTAGCAAACTCTGAAGTGTCATCGTTGGCTGTAATGCAGTTTTTTAGAACCATCTGTGTTGCATACAAAAACGGTAGTACTGATGACAAGGCTGCATACTTGTGGCCACTAAGATCTTTGGTTGCCGATGCGATTGGTTCAAGAGCTTTGACGAGCCCAGCCACAGCTTCCCACTCCAGTGGTGTCAGGTTGGGCACACTTGTCTCGGGTGGCCAGCTCGAAACAGATGGCTTCCTTCAGCTGCACAAGACATGAAAGCATATTATGCTCACTATTCTACCTGGAGGGAATGGGAGCTCCATTCTTCTCTGGCAGTCCTGCAGTCTTGCCGTAGCATGGGCACTGTGCTTATAATGGCCAACAATGGTGCGGCACTTCTTGAGAATGGCCGGCACTCCAGCTGTTTCATCCGTAGCATCTTTTATCGCTAGTTGCAATGTATCCCCTAGCCCTCCACTACGGAGTTTCTCATAATCAAATAGTGGTTTTGGGGCGTTAAACCCCACAAATCATCATCAAATCATCACAGTTGCAATGTATGGCCCACACGATGCATTGGCATGCAAGAAATACCCCTAAGGGCCATGCGGAAGTTTCTTGCATTGTTCATCGCCACATGGACTGGCACATTTTGCATTGGCAGCTCCCAGCTATCCATCATTGCTTGTTGTTGCTCCAGGATGTTGCAAAGCAGTGTGGCTCTCGCTCACGCTACGATTTCCCAACGCAAGGCTTCTGATTTTGAAGTTTGAGACTACATAGTGGCAGGCCAGGCTGACATAACTATGGTTAGACCTTGACGTCCACATGTCGCTTGTCAACAAGATCGACTATACACCTTCCCAGAAATCCGCATGCATTCGCTCCTTGACCGCCGTAACTGTGTCTCTGTACAACTCCGGGATGACTGTCCTTGAAAAGGTAGTGCGGCTGGGTATCTTGTACAACTTCTCCATGTGGTTCATCGGCTCTCTGAAACCCCGATTTTCCACGCAGCTATAAAGCTGGAGGTCGAACACCAGCATTCGGGCAATCGTCATCATCGCCGTTCTCTCGCGCTGCGGTAGGTCCTTGCCCAACTTCAGCGCACTTTTTATG